CCCGAGGAGGCGGCCCTGCCGGCTTTACGAAAAAGTTGTTGGGAGAGATCTGGACTTTTAAGTCTTTCCTCGGCCCAATACAGGCTAACCGGGATTGGGGGCCCCGCCCACTGTCCTGGTCTCCCTGGCAACTGTTTTCCTGCCAGAGGTGCCCCTCTCCCTGTGTTACCCAAGCTACTTTCAGGCCCGCCTCCTTCAAGGTCCTGACTGGTTCATAGCAAATGTGGGTCGGCTAAGGAAGGCACTGAGGTTTGAGCTGCCGGGAGAGAAGCAGGAGTGTTTCAGCGGGAGGAAATGAGGACTCAGGAACGCCTGGAGGACCTGTGTGCAGCCTCTGGTCTGTTAGAGCCTCAGAAAGAAGAACTGCAGGTCCTGGGAGACAGTCACCAGGGTTCAGGCTGGAGACACCTGGGCCACTCTCAGAGCTGACCCCAGAACGGGGACCCCTGCGAGGAGGAGAGACTCCTGCTCTCCTGCACCCCTACCACACAGGCCACCCCCCAATCCCAAACTGCCTTGTTCATTAGTACTGGGCCAGTGGGGAAGAACTCAAGACCTTTACTTCTATCTCTTCTTGGTTTTTCCTCCTGAAGTCCCTATTTTTAGAGTTAGTGGCAGGGCAGGTCTTTCCAAGGAGGGGATGGGCGGGGTCACTGAGAAGCAGATGAGGGGAAGGGGTGGTTCCTACAAGGCTTGCTTCCCCTCTACCAGCTAGAGCCTCTGGGAATGTTGTGTGGGGAAGCTATTCTGGGCTGGGGGTGGTCTGTTGGTGGAACGGGCCCTCCCAGGTCTCTACCCACAAACCCTGACACCCCTCATCCCCGCTCCCAGGACCTCACTGTGTAATTACCATCCTCTCCCACACCGGGAGTTCTGCCCCCTGTAATTATCCTGTCTTGATCCACCCGGTTAACCTCTTTTACTCCAAAGTTCTCTAAGAGAAGTTGGAGGTTCAGAGGAGGGAGTTTGTGCCAAAAAGTTTGTGTTTGGGGGAAGAGGGTTGTATAAGTGGGATACAGTTGGGAACTCTGAGAATCCTTTGTTGTCACTTTATTTGCCTCTGGCCTACTGGAAGACGCACCGCCCTGCCCTCATCACTTTCCCCTTATCCTCTTAGGGCAGGCCCAGCCCTTCCTCTCTTTTCTACTTTCACTCTCCAGTCTCCCTAGGCCTCCCAGCTCTGCCTGTTTTTGTCACCTACTGCTCCCACTCCAGGTCCCTGCTGGGGTGCTGCTGGGGGTAGTGGCCAAAAAATGGCCCCATTGCCCAGCTATGCCAGCAGGAGGCACCACTATTCCACTATTCCATCTGTTGGTCAAGAAAAGGAGGGTTCTGAGCGCAATGTTTACTTCTCCAGGGATTTCAAAATACTGGCAGATGTGCTGACCCCAGAGGTGACAAAGAATGACCTGGGCTGCCAGATGAGGAGAGCTGGCGGGAAGCAGAGGAGAGCTGGAGGCAGGAATGTTCGGAGGGAATCCAATCTCCAATCTCTAGGAGAGAGCACAGGGCAGTGAAGGTCAAAGTTGTTGCCAGATGCGGTGTGTGTGCGTGTGTGGGGGGCAATGGTGAGGGTGTGTAGATGGCCAGAATGTCTGGCTGGGGTGAGAATGAGAATGAGAACCGGAAATTAGAGATGTGAGGGTAGGACAAACTGGCCTAGGCTCTGGCTGGGGGTGCCAGCGACCTGCACCCGTTTGAACCATGCCTCATCTCCTCACCCCTAGTTCCCTGAGCTGCAAGTCCACATTCATGGGGGGGAGACCAACCAGTTGGGAAGAACTTGATTGAATGTCTTCAAGGCCTGCAATGCCCTGCTGCACCCCTCTGCCCCGCCCCCCACCAGCCTATGCTAGGTGGCCCCCAGCATCCACAGCTTACCTTTGTCATGGCCCTCACCACACTGCATTTTTTGTCTGTGCCTACAGGTTGTAATCACCTTAAAGGCAGGGCCGTGTCAACTCATCTCCAGCTAGTTCCAGTGCCTGGCATGTTTAGGCTTTCAGTAAATGGATGGATGGATGAATGAATGAGTGAATGAGTGAATGAATTCTTTCTCAACCCCAAGGAACAGAAACCTGAGATAACCCCCCTGCGCCAGCAGTGCCTCTTTCTCATTTCTTCTATGTTCATCTCTGCTCCATCCCAGGAGAAACCTTAGTTGTGTGGGTCTGTGGCTCTCAGTGGAGACTGCAGCACTTCTGAGCCGGTCCTGGACCAGAACCACACAGCAAAGATCCTGGCCCAGGTGGTACACTAGGAGGCCACCATGGGCTGGAACTGCCTGCCCTGCCCACTCACCAGCTGGGCATCTGGAATGACCCCATTGGTAATAGTGCTACTGACTGGAAGGAGGCTGGGAGAGGAGCCAGGCAAAGGTAGAGAGAACAAGGGGCCAGAATTCATGGCCTGGGAGCCCAAGGAGTAGGGAAAAGAATGAGGCAGGAAGGGAGATGGAGCACTGAGGATGGAGCCTGGCAGTGGGGTCGGGGCTGGGTGGGGCTGGACCAGGAGCTCAGCCTTGGGGCTTGAACTGGGACTCTGGGCTAAGACCAAGATGGGCAGGAGGGGCCAAAGGAGGCTAGGTTGTCCCTCTCAATCCTTTCCTCAGCCACCTTAAGTGAGGTAATCAGATATTTCTCAAAGCAAAATCACTTTAACTCCCAGGAGTCTAAAAACAGTAGAATTATAAAGCGTTTATTATTCTGAAGGTAACAAAACTGATCCCCTTCATTTCTTCTGTGATCTTCACAACCGCCCCGTGAGATGAGGAAGGGAGTAGCTTTCCTCCTGCCTAACTGGGAGGAAGCCGAGGCTTAGGGAGAGTGAGAGTTTAGCAAAGTCGCTCCACTCACAAGTGCGTGCTGCACGAGTGGGAAGCAGAACCTGTCTTGCACCAGGGCTTCTGACCTCAGGTGCTTCTTGCTGGTGGCGGGTGTGGTGCATCTAGTACTGGAGTTTGTGTGTCAAGACCCTGGTTCTTACCTGCAGGTTGCCCCTGAGTGAGTGGTTTCATCTTTCTAAGCCTTACTTTCCTTGAAGTGAGGATGTAAGGTGACTTTGGCAATGATAATGTTCTCCTGGGTAGCACAGTGTGGTGACTTACTCTTGCCCAGACAACTGCAGGAGTCAGAGCCGGCCACCACAATAACTCCACCAACCAGTACCTTAGTGGTGCTGTCCCCGCAGAGCCAGTATGGGATATCTTCCTTGAGGGGCTGTGCTGAGCCCTGGTGCTCAACTGGGTCTATCACTAACTCTCTGGGGAGCCTGTGCTGGGGTGGTCCATGAGTCTTTCTACCAGCAGGACCCACAAAGCCGAAGGTTTTGATATAACCCTGTGGTCTGGGGGCTATCATCAAGCACCCATGCCCCCTCATACATACCTAAAACAGGACTCTGGATTTAAATTTCAGGCCCCCATTTCAGACTCAACTTCTTTACATTAAGTTCCAACCACCACCCTTCCTACCCTCCCCAGTGAAATGGCCTTGAGGCTGATGCACCCTTCGTTTCCTCTCTCCCTCTTCCCCACCCCTCTCACTCATGTCTATTTTCCCCTCTCACATCTTCCAACCTTTCCCACGTCTTCCACCCTCCTTTATTCTCCTCTATCACCTCACACCTCTCCCAACATTCTTTTTTTCTTTCCTCCTTTCTTTTCTCTTTTTCTTTCTTTCTTTCTTTCTTTCTTTCTTTCTTTCTTTCTTTCTTTCTTTCTTTCTTTCTTTCTTTCTTTCTTTCTTTCTTTCTTTCTTTCTCTCTCAGTCTTGGAGAAAACTGAGTATCAGAAAGTCAACCTCCCTCCCTCCCTCTCGACCTCCACTGTTCCCTCCTTCCTTCCTTCCTTCCTTCCATCCTTCCTTCCTTCCTTACTTCCTTCCTTCCTTTCTTCTTTTCTTCCTTTCTTCTTTCTTTCTTTCCTCTCTCCCTCCCTCCTTTCCTTCCTTTTCTTTGAATATTTCTCTGGGGGAGAGGATACCTACTCAATTAGAGGTCTTTTATTTTTTTATGCCTATAGTGCCATGAATTCACAGGGAGTGGGTTCCAACAGCTCAGTCTCCTTTACATTGGTTCTCACAAAGTGTGCTTCTCTGGTGCTTCGGTCGAACCCAGGTACCTTTTCTTTGGCTTCTTTTTCTGATCATTTTCCTTTGCATGTCTAGGGAATTTGTCTCAGCTCTTGAAGTGCTTAAATGCTCAATATGTATGTTAATTCTCTTGGCAAGAATCTTGCCCTTAACTTGTTTGTTTACAACAATGCCGACCACATGCTGGGTAACACTGTAGACCCTCCCAGTTTTGCCATACTAACATTTGTGGGCCATTCCTTTTGGAGCAGTGCCCATTTCCTAGGTGTCTACAATATCACCTTTCTTGTAGATTTGCATGAATGTGGCCAAGGAACAACTCTATGTTTTTTTCCTAATTAATTATTTTATTTTTCAATTACAGTTGGCACACAACTTCATGCTTTCTAAAAGGCCTAGAGAACATATAGCGAGTGCCTCTCCTTCTTCCCTTTGTGTTGGTCATTTTGGTGAACTACTAGAAGATGCAAATTAGGGCTGAAAGGCAACCCTTCTCTTTCTCTTTCCTCCTCACTTTCTCCAAGTCTCCTCACTTCTCTCTCCACCCCCACCCCCTTCCGCACCCCCAGCCTCTGCAGGTGGCAGTTCTGAGCTCACTGGTCCTGTTGAGTGGAGGGGAGAAGGTGTCTGGGCTCCCTGTATGGATATGGGCTTCAAGAGGCCTCGGGCACTAGCTGCAAGCTGCTGTGCATTGCACTTGGTCTGGCTGATGCCTATGTGCTCTCAGATGGCACCACTTTCACTTGGGACACCTGTGGCCATCCTGCTTTGGCCCTGGGTGGAGGTATGGTAGAGGTGGAGGGCAGTCTGTGGCTCTGCTGTGTGGGGAGGGACAAGAATACCCGTTTGAGTCATCTAGGACTCTTCTCACTTCCTCTCCCCCTCCCACAGGAAGACAGTCACCCAGTCCTTTGATTTGCCTGTGAAATGCCACCCAGATTTCCCTTCTTTCTGTGGTTCCAGCCTTCGCTAGCTCTTCGATGGACTGTGGCAGTGATGTCACAGGTATCTTTCAGGCCACCTGATATTTAGTCCTACTCATTTTATTGTAGGCCCAGTTGCAAGATAGGTCACCCTCTCGAAACTTCCCACCACTCCCCATTGCCTTTAGAACATATCCAACATAGACCTGGATTTTCCCAACAGTTCTGTCATCTAGACCGTTTCATCTGGTGTTTCATTTAGTGTTTTGTGAAGTATTCCAAAAAAAAATTACAGATACATTTCTCCCTCAAATATTATAGGATGCATCTTTAAAGAAGAGTAATTTACCTATATAATCATACTATCATCATAACTAAAAAAAATATTTCTCATGTCTAATTCTCAGTCCATATTCAAATTTCCCCAGTTGTTCCCAAAATGTCTTTCACGGTTGGTTTGATTCAAAGGCCAAGCATTATACTTGGTTGTTGTGTGTCTAAATTCCTTAGTCTTCACTTCAGACTACCCTACCTCCCGCCTATCTTTCCCCACATCCTACCTGAGCTCTTTGAGCCACTCACGCCCAACCTCCCATGGACTTTTACAGGTGGCTCTTTCCTTGTCAGTGGAACTGAGAGCTTGCCCCTTTAGTCTCTAAATTCACCTCGGAGAGCACTACTCACCTCTGTGAAATCCTTTCTTTTTCTTTTTCCTTCCTGGGCTGAGGCACCACCTGTCCCTCTCTCTGAGGTCATCCAGCTGCCACCAGAGGTTTCTGCTTCTGTTCACAGTGTAGGCTTGGTTTTGCCTCCTGGCAGAGGGCAGGGCCATTGTTTTCCCTCTGCCTTGCTGGCCGTCCCTTCCCCCAGCACATGCCTGGCATTTAGAGGCAGCACAATAAAGAAACCGCTGAATACTCCTTTCTTCAGTACCTTCCTCCTCCTCCACAGCCTGCCTGCTGTGATAACTAGGGAGCAAGGTCCAGAATGGGCTTGGTGTGTCTTGCTGGAAGGTTGTGATCCTGGAAACTGGTTCTCAGCACAGCCCAGATCTTCTTCCTTTTGCTCTTGAAGTTTCTTTCCTTTTTTTGTGTACACACACCAAGACTCAGGAAGTGGTTCTTGAGTCAGGACCCTAGGAGCCTAAGGGGTGGGGCCCAGGCTGGGGGAGGGGGAATGTGCTGGCTGGTTCTGTCCTTGGCGCATTTACACAGCTCCTTCTGGGCACCACCATGGTACACAAGGGAGTGAGGCAGCTTGAGCCTGCCACCTCCCCTTCCAGCCTTCACCTGGCTTTACGCTCTGGGATGAGGTCTGTCTGTTAGGATGGGATGGGGAAATCCAGGGGATAGATGAACTGTCTGCCTTAGTGTCCATCCACCCACCGTGACAGGCTGATCCAGAAGTAGTGGGGGCACAGACCTTGTCAATCCTCCCGCAAAGGGAGGGACCGGACTCTGATGGATCATGATTGACTGAGTGGAATGGTCTGGAGAAGAGTTTCCTCTTCCTCTCAACCCATTACTCAGGAGCCCTAGAAAATGGAGAAGAGTTTAACAGAGGGGGACAGGAACACCCACTCAAGAATGTTGGGGGACTCCCAGGATGTGAGGCTGGGGATTTTTTTGGAAGTGTTTTTTCTGGCCCCATTCTATCCCAGGGAGCCGACAGCGCCCTCTGCCGTCGGGGATGGACTGGGGCTTGAACAGAGATGGAGCCCGAGGAAAAGAGTGGGCTCTGGTGGAGGACAAGGAGGCCTGGGCATTCATCCCTGCTTTTGGCTACCAGACAGAACCAGGCGGCTCTCGGTTCTCCTTTTCTACCCCAGTTGGCATGGGAGTGGAGGCGCCAGAAGAGGGCAACCCCAGCAGGGGTAGGCGCTGTCTTCAGGTCCGGGCCCCTTGGCCTTGACCCAGCCTAGGGCTCGGCCCTCCCCTCCGTGGCCGGGTGACTCAGGCCACAGCTGTTCCCGCGTCACATGAGGGAGGCCGGCGGCCACACGGCCGGGAAGGGGGCTGGGGCTGGAGGCTGGGGCGGGGCCGCGCGGCGGGCGGGGCCGGAGCCGGGGGGCGCAGCTAGAGAGCCCCTGAGCGGCGGCGAGAGAGGATCGCACGGCCTCGAGGAGCCCAGGTGAGGCGGCGGGCCAGGTCGGCTGTGGGGTCTGGGGGGTCGCCAGCAGCCCCCTTCTCTAGGTTCGCCCAGGCCTCCGAAGACCCGCCGCACTCCGGGCCTCTCTGAGGTTTTCTCAACTTTGTAACTTTGAAAAGTTCCGGAGGCCTGGGCGGGGCGGGGAGCGGTGGGGGTGCCGGCCGCATCTAATTTTGGGGGGTGGTCAGAGCGGAGGGGAAAGTGGCTAGCAGTCAGGCTCCGGCTGAGGACAGTTTTCGGGACTGGTCGGGCGGGGACGGGGTATTTAACGCCTGCGGCTGGCGGCCGAGGGTGGGCGGCGGACTCGCGCCCTTGTTTGCGCCCTCGGATCTGTCCCCGGAGGCGGCGGGCGGGCCTGGGCTGCGCCGCGGTCGCCCCCACCCCTCTCGGGCCTGGGAGAAGAGGGGGCTGGGAGACGTGGATCTGACCGCGGGTTTCCGTGTGGGCGGGGCCGGGAATGGGGGCCGAGCAGGGAAGGCCTCGAGGGCCGCCAGGGAGCCCGGAAACCGAGGGCCCCCTCGGCCGGTTCTAATCCCCCTGCCCTCCCCTCTGCCCCAGGTCCGGCAGCCATGGCGGTGGAAGGAGGAATGAGATGTGTCAAGATCTTGCTCTACGTTTTTCTGGTGGCTTTTTGCGTGAGTGGGGAGTAGGGGGGACGATGGGAGCGTGCTGGCAGGGTGCGGGGAGACCTGGCTTCGGAGTGCAGAGGGTTGAGGGACCGGGAATGAAGGCAGCTGGAGACCAGATGTGGAAAGAAAGCCCGGGGAACGGCCGAAGACAGCATGGCCACCCCGTCCTCCAGCCTTCAGGGACCTCTGAGGCTGGTTTGGATGACAATGGTCAACCTCGGTACTCAGCACCCTCACCCAATTCCTGGCCCTTCCTGTCTGGTGACCCAACCACTTGCGATAGGGGCAGTGGGGCAACCAGCCAACGGCTGATGTACTGATGCTATCTCCACACAGTGGGGCTACCCTGCCTTCCCCGCCCTCCTCCAGCCTTTCTCCCTTCTCCATCTCATCATTTCAATCATCCCTCTTCACCCCTCCCAGCTGCTTGGGGGTGGGGAAGGGCTCTGCCCACCTCAATTTGCTCCTGCTCTTGGCTCTTGCCTTGAGAGGTTACTGTTTGTCCAGGGAGGGGCACATCCAGGGAGGGGCACACACCACTCCTGTCTCCTCCTCTGGGCCTAGTTGGCTGGGGAACTCTAGTCACTGCTGATGGGGATGGGTTGGGCATGGAGGATAGTGAGAGGGCAGTTCTGGGAGCTCGTGAGGCCCAGAGGAAGTACTACTCTGTCAGGAATATGTGCCCTGGGGTCAAAGGTTTCAGGGAACTTCTCTTTTTTGCATTTGAACAAACTGTGGGCAAAGATGGGTCATTCTCCTCCCGCCCAGTCAAGTTTCCTGGAAGGTTGAGATCCCTGACCGGGTTAAGTCTGTGTCCTGGGTGTACTCGATGCCTTCCACCACGGAGGGTTGATGAAGTTGTGTTTCTGGACTAACCCTGACCTGCCCTCCTTGCAGGCCTGTGCAGTGGGACTGATCGTTGTGGGTATAGGGGCCCAGCTCGTCCTGAGTCAGACCATCAGCCAGGGGGCCACTCCTGGCTCCGTCTTGCCTGTGGTCATCATCGCAGTGGGTGCCTTCCTTTTCCTGGTGGCTATTGTGGGCTGCTGTGGGGCCTGCAAGGAGAACTACTGTCTTATGATCACGGTGAGTGGGGCATGGGGCCAGTGTGGGTGTTTGGGACTTCTGGAAGGTCACTTCTGTTGGGGGGTCACAAGGGTGAGCGAAATGAGGTGGGCAGGCGAAAATCTTTGAGTTCAGAGACTGGCTCGGCCCCTCACTCAGATTCCAAACCTGACTCCCATCATTTGCTCCTGCAGTTTGTTATCTTCCTGTCTCTTATTGTGCTGGTGGAGGTGGCTGCAGCCATTGCTGGCTATGTGTTTAGAGACAAGGTAAGCAGGGAATAAGGGGACGGCCCTGTTACAGAGGCCTAGCTGCTCTGGGACCCCGGTGCTCTGAATTCTGACCTCAGTAATGCCTCTCCTTACTCTCCAGGTGATGTCAGAATTTAATAAGGACTTCCGGCAGCAGATGAAGAATTATCCAAAACAGAACCAGACGGCTTTGATCCTGGACAGGATGCAGGAAAATGTGAGTGGGGTTGCTTGGAGCAGAGGGAATAGGGGTAGAAGATTCTTATCTCCATATCGAAGGTGGAGTTTCACTTAACAACCTCCCCCATATCTCTTCTCTCCCCCAGTTCAAGTGCTGCGGGGCAGCTAACTACACAGACTGGGAGACCATGCTTCTTGAGCCCAAAGGCCGAGTCCCTGACTCCTGCTGTATCAATGTCACTCAGGGCTGTGGGATTAATTACAATGTGAAGGAGATCTATACCGAGGTAGGGAGGAGGCTGAGGTGAGGTAGCAGGGGACTTGGGAACTTGGGTAATGTTTCAAGAGGTGAGAGGAACCAAGGATGGAGGTGGAGAGGGTTGGGGCTCTGGGAAGTTGGAGACCAGGGATGGGGAGGAGGTAGGGGAATGATAGGGGTGAGGTGGAAGGTATCAAGGGTCAGGGAGAGACAGATGGACCAGGGGAGGTGGGTGGGAAGTATCTGATGGTGTTCTTGCCCTGTACGCCTGCCACCCTTCAGGGCTGTGTGGAGAAGATTGGGTTCTGGCTGAGGAGCAATGTGCTGGTGGTGGCTGCAGCAGCCCTGGGCATTGCCTTTGTGGAGGTGAGAGGCACCCTTGGGATTCATTCTAGGGCATCTGGGGAGCAGGGGCAGTGGGCAGGAGGGTGCTGAACAGGAGGTACTGGTCTCGGGAGGGGAGCCCTGGGAATATTTGGAGTCTCTTTGGTGGGTTGGTGGTACTTTGTCCTTCTGACTCCTCTCCATCTCCTCTTTCCTTCTAGGTCCTGGGAATTGTCTTTGCCTGCTGCCTTGTGAAGAGTATCCAAAGTGGCTATGAAGTGATGTAGGAGGTCTGGTCTCTTCAGCCCCTCTTCTAGGAGGGTGGGGTAATATACTCCATGTTTTTCAATTAAACGGATTATTTTTTCAGACCGAAGACAGTCTCAGTTTTTCTTAAAAGAGTGATACTTTATCTCTTCCCCTCTCCTCTGGGACCTTGTTCTATTTGCACGTCTGGGACAGGCAGGCCTATTTTGGGGAGTGTTTGGCAAAAGGGGGTTTTGCTGAAGAAGTTGGTTGGGCTGGCGGTGGAAGCGGGGATTGGGAGGAGGCTGTGTCCCACTGCCCTCCCTGTCTCCTAGTCGTGTGCTGCCAGGCTCAGTGCTGTAGCATTCATGAAGCCATTTCCTGCAAAAGTCAAAAAGATTCCCCACAAAGGCCCTACCTGGGAGAGGCCAGCCCAGGACTACCATGGACATCTTCTCCCTGGCTTTTCGTCTGCTTCTGAGAGCCTGGCAATTCCCTCCCCTGCTCAGGGGCCTGGCTCCTTTCAGGGTGGTGATAGGTTGCTTTGACATCTGTGTGGCCAGCGTCCATCCTTCTTGTCTTAGATTATAGAGAATTTAAGTAGGTACTGCCTTTTTGCCATGGAGACCACCCAGCCTGGCCCCGACGCCTCCTCACCACCTTCCCTTGCCCCTCAAAAAACATAACGGCCATTCCCACTCCAAACTCTGAATTGCAACATTACTCCATGTAGAAAATAAAGGAAACGTCCAACAGTGCCCTCTACTGGCCATTTCTTTAGGTGCAGCTTCAAAGATCACCTGGAGATGCAAGATAGCCCCCTTGCGCCCCCCAGTGGGTGCTAGTCGTTTTGTCAGCACTAAACAGGCCAGTTATCCTGGGCCACGTCAGCCTAGGGTAGTAAGCATTTAAATGGGGTACCTTCATTTCTGTCCACTAACTTTTATTGAGTGCCTATTTTGTGCCAGACACCAGGCAGTACCAGGGTGTGGACAAATAAAGTTCTTGCACTTGAACAATCTTGCTGGAAGGCTAGATTCAGTAGACTGCCTGGGCAGGCTTGGGAAAGACCCAGGTGAGCACAGCATCCACCAGGCTGGCTGGCAGGTAGGAGGCTGGCAGCCAGAGCAGCTTGGCATCCCAGCCTGGACTGTAGCGAGTTCTGGGGTGACGAGCAGTCAGGGCATGCTCCACGCACCTGCTCACCTTGGTCAGGTCCGGGTCACAGATCAGGTTCAGGAAGCGCTTCCACACTTTCAGGTCTGCAGCCCGATAGGTGGTTGTAATCAGCATCCGCGTCCCACTCCGGCCCATTCCAGGCCCTCTCTGTGGGTCCCGGGGCTTGTTGCCCCACAGAGGTGAGAGGGATCCTTAGTCCCATGCCTAGTTTGGGAAGTGGGCAGGCTCCACCTGGCCTGGGTGTTCTATGGCGTCTCGTTCACCCTCACTGCCCTCCCCACCTCCTCCCAGCAGGCTGGTGCAGGACTGGCTTTTCTGGCACTCTCATTTGCCTTCATGTGCCCCGGCTACTTACACTTGGTGAGGAAGGCCTCCCCATAACAGGCTTGCGTGGCTGGAGGCAGCCGTGCCCAGTAGGCTGACAGGGTACTCCCTAAACTCTCCGGTTTTGTTATAGAAGTTCGGAAGAAGCCGGGTTCTATGATGGAGACTCGTACCCCAAAAGGAGTGACGTCCCGCCTGAAGTGAGAGCAGAGGGAGGTTTCTGGATTCTTGCCCTTACAGGGAGGGGATGTTCAGGAACATGGGTGGGGGGCTAAGATGGGAAAGTTATCACAGACCAGGCACCGGGGTCCTGACAGTAAGGGATATCCCAGCTGCCCTAGGATGAGGGGCAAATGGAATGGGGACGGAGATATTTTTAAGGTTTGTTTTCCTTTGTATTCTCTTCTGTAACCTAGAGCAGGGGTCAGCAAACTTCTTTCAATACTGCAGCCCTAGTCTACGGCCATGCCACCCTGAACACGGCGGATCTCGTCTGATCTCAGAAGCTAAGCAGGGTTGGGCCTGGTTAGTACTTGGATGGGAGACCACCTAGGAATACTAGGTGCTGTAGGCTTTTAAAAAAAATACTGCAGGCCTAAAAATTAATATTACGTAGGTACTTATATAACCATTTAAAATGTAAAAACTATTATAAGCTTGTAGGCAGCTGGCCAGATCTGGCCTGAGAAACACAGTTTGCCAACTCCAGACCTAGAACCCCCTTCCCTAGCTCCCAGGACACAGGGTTGAGTCCTGGGTGCTAGATATGAAGGGTATAGACTGGTATTTGCTGAGAGGAAAGTGGGAATACATCCAACCACCCCAGCACAGATGTACAAGTCCAAGTATAAAGTATATGTTCCATGGTGCTGATTGGAAAATTAAAAGACTGAGGGATAGGGACAAAAGTCAATATAGAAATTTTTTGCTGAGTGATGGTGATGAAGGCAGGCTTCCTTCAGAAGGTGGGCTTGGCTTGGGGGACTTGTACTTCTACTCAAAATTCAAGCCTTCCTTCCGTGTTGTCCTTCTCAAGTCTCTCTTGTCATGGGAGGTTGAACATTATTGTCTAAAGATGAGGGGCAGAAGGACAGAATGACAAGGTTCTTTAGGTGAGCAGAGAGTCCCAGTGTGGTCCTGGGTAAGTTATGTTACTCTTAAAGGTGTTAATACCTGCCCTTATAGGGTTGCTAGGAGAATTAATGAGAAAACATTATGTAAAGGTACCAGCTCATTGTAATAGTTGTTGTTATTAATAATAACACTAATAATAATGATAGAAGGCTTTTTGGGGGCCTTTTCTATATGCCAGGCATTGTTGAGGCCTTACAGGTACCTCATTTTACTCATAACATCCATGAGGTGGGTCTTCTCATTCTGATTTAACTGAGGTAAATGGAACTAACTTTTAAGGTTCACATGAGAGGCTGAGATTTGAACCCATTAAGCCCTAAACTGTCTCCTCTGAAGTATTCCACATGTTTTGGTCATCTCTGCAGAGCAGACACTAATTCTTTTGTTGAGTGAGCTGTCCTTGGGGGGCTGGGAGCCCAGGGCCCTGCCTCCTCACCTCAGGGTGTCTGAGAAGGCCTCCAGGGCAAACTTGGAGACACAGTAGCCCCCACCAAAGACTGCCAAGCGACCCGCGATGCTGGTGATGTTCACCACGTGGCCCCGGGCCTGTTGAAGTAGGGGTAGCAGGGCAAGGGTGACGCTGATGGGGCCCAGTGTGTTCACATTCAGCACCTCATGGAAGTCATTCCGGGCCAGCCACGGTGTGGGCCCAGACATACCAGCCACACCAGCATTATTCACCAGACCAAAAAGCCCTGTGGAGAGGTGAGACATACTGAGGGGAGGTGAGTCATTGCAGTGGTACCTCTCCTTCCTAGACCTGAGCTCCTTCCCCTCACAGTCCCTCTGGCTTCCCACAGCCCCTGCCAGTGAACACCCTATACCATGTTCCTGGTGGCTGAACCATACTCACCTGTTTCCCCAACATGTGTTTCTACCCACTTGGTTGCCTGCTGGACACTTTGGAGATCAGTGACATCCAGTAGGGTGTCAGGCCACCCGCTGTAGGTCCTCTGCCCCTGATGGGGTCAGGCAGCTGGCCAACACTCGGAAGACTCTCTGATCCAGTCTCAGTGCCAGAAGCCGCCCGAAGCCTGAATCACAACCAGTGATGAAGACGAAGGCGTCGCTTGGGGGCAGGCTCCGCTGGTCTCTGAGCACCCACAGTGCTACCCAGAGCAAGACTCCCAGCAGTAGGGGCAGCCACATGGCTGCAGTCCAAGTGACCTGCAGGTGACAGCTAAGGCTGGGTAGAAAAACTTGTCTAGTTTACTCTGGCACCTAATATCCTCCCTATTAGTCTCTGGTCCCAGCATTTTGAGGAATAATCTGCTTGACAGATAAAAGACAAATTACACCTCATTTGGGAAAGCAAACGATCTGGAAAGACCATATATTAATGGCCAACTCAGTGAAAACCGAATGAGCCGGATCTTCTTGTTTGCTGTCATCTCTTCTCTCCTGCTAAACCAGGGACATCTGAACTCTCTAAATGTAAGCTGGACCTTGTTTTAGGAAACACAAAGAGTCCTGCATTTCAGTCCTTGTGGCTCCAAACTTACTGTGTAATGCCGAGCATCTCACTGAGCCTCTGAACCTGTTTTCTCATCTGCCAACGGTGACTAACACCCATCACACACACCGGGGAGTTGTGGAGGATCGAAGGGGAGCATATGTGACGAAGCACATTAAAAGCTTAAAGCTTTGAGTTGTCAATACATGTAAAATCTTGCAAGTTTTCTCCTAGCATCCCGGTTTCCAGTATCTTGCTTACCTTCTCTGGAGAAAGCTGGAAGGTACAATACTGGACACTTCTTTTGCTTGTTTGAGAGACTGCTCTCAGTCTTCCCAGGCTCCCACACGAGCTATAGCTAAGGCCAAAGTCCGCAGCCAGTAGACTGATTACCAGAGGTATGTGAGCTGGACTGCGGGAGGGCTGGGAGGAGGTGCCTGAAAAGCTGGAGCCTGCCAGCTGAAGCCAGCGATTGGCATAGGCCAGGCATACCAGGACCCATTTCTTGGCTATCTTTTCCAGCCAGGGTTCCTGACCACCGCTGTCATCGATTCCCAGGAGGAGAGATGTGTCAAGGATGGCTGCTGCCCCTCTTTGTTGGTGACCTTAGACCTGCCATTCCTCCCCCTTCATGCCTAAAGTACTCCCATGCCCAAGAGTTAATCTTCGGCTGGGTCCAGACTCATGACACTGCTTAGCACCAGGCTGGGAGGGGCCATGAGCACATGGAGAGGCAGAGCGCCAGAGCTGAGACCAGACCCACTCCCTGTCTTATTTCTCCTCGGCAGGAAACTGAAGTCCTGAGTTAGGAGCTTGGGGCAGGGCCCACTGAGACCTTCTCTGGGAGGTGTGGAGAACTCCTACTCTCTGCTTACCCAACAGGCACCTGTACCAGGCCCAAGGAGGAAAAGAGAGTTGGGATAAGAGGTAGCTAGTTCCATCCTCTACCCAAAAGGTGCCTGTCCCTTAGGAAAACAGTCTCTGACCCTTCCACCTCCACTCCCCATGCTGAGTTAGTAGCTCCTTAAAACATACCACAGAGAAATGGAGGCTTGTGTTTTATTCATGGCCTGTCAGCCTCCCTTCTGCTCCAAGGGGAGGTAGGAGGAGCGGGTAGAGCGGGAGGGAAGAGGGGCTAGGACTGGGCTGACTGCAGCTGTCCTTTGTAGACGTATTCCAGGGCGGTGGCAATGGTGCGCATGTCCAGCTCAATGCTCCGAGCCCAGTTCTCCACATCCCCGATTTCCTGGGAAACGGAGGGCGTGGAAGTCCATGAATCAGGGCGAGTAGAGTAAGAGGAAGCTAGTTCCATCCTCTACCTAGATTCATCACCTAGGGGGTGAATGGGGCACTTTCCACACATCTCGTACAAAGGGGTTTGCTTGGATCCACCAACTGCCTTTACCTCTTTCTCTAGCTTCTCTGACACTAGGGGCATAGAGGGGGTTTCTGGGACCATCCCTACTTCTTCTGTAACCCCAGGCCTGAGGTGACCTGACTGGAGGCAGTCAGTGGGGCCCAGGATGGGGCTGGTGATGTAGGGAGCATGGCCCACCTTGAGTGCCTGGTTGAAGTTCTCCACCATCCCGATCCATTGGCCTGTCTGCTTGGCAAACTGGGCAGCCTGAACCTGCAGGGTCTTCACCTCATGGTCCAGCTTTCTCTGGTTCATGTAGGCCTGGGCCACACTACAGGTTGGAGGAGGGAGGAGGTCAACTCATCCAACTGGTAAGAGTGGTCTTTAGGACTAATATCCCACTGCAAGAATGGGAGGCCAGCCGGGAGTCAGGCTGAGGAAAACCTCGTGATTTTGGCCATTCTGGGATATGATGCAAAAGAGACCAGTTATATGCAAATGAACCCAGCTCCTTTCTCCCACTCCAGGATTCCCGGGAGAGCCTAACTGGGAGCTGACTAGAAACATATCATATCCTACCCCACAAAGGAGTTCCTGAAGCTGGATGGGGGAAGGGAGAACTAACCTGGGGCGGGGGGCAGCTATCCCTGAGAAAGAAGCTGGGAACATCTAGCAGCAGGGACACATCTGGCAGTGATCGGAAGCCCAGGGATCTGTGCAAGAAGTTGGGAAGGAACTTGGGCCACTCCCTGAATCTGGGGCGGGATGGGAGAGCAACCCCCTCCCCAGGAACTCAGGGTCAAGAGAAGATCTCCCAGGGGCTGCTTCTTGGCTCTCAGTCTCTCTCCCAACCCTTTTCCTTTTGCCCACACATATGAATGAACACACATGCACACTTCTCCCTTCTGCTCCATGCAATAGTTTTTCTTTTCTTCTCAGTCAAGGTGCTGGCTGCAGTCAGGTTGGCACCTGCCCCCATCCCCTCCCAACTCTCCAGCAATAACTGTGCAACGACTGTGTAATAATTTTTTTCTCTTATTGGCTGGTGAATCTTTCACTCCCCACCCCAAAGCTCTAGGTCAGCTGGGAGACTCCGCATCCGGTGGCCCCACCCACTGGAATCTGTGGAGGCTGGAGGGGGCATGGGGTTGGGTGGGGTGGGAGAGAGTGGGAAGGACACCTGACAAGGACTGAGATAGATGAAGCCTTTGTGTTCCTTTCTGGGGACTGAGAGGAGCTGTGGGCAGCAACACAAAACCCTTTCTAATCTGGCTTTGGCTTAGCTGCCCTCAATCTAAAAGTGGGGTGGCCCCTGGCAAAGAAAGAGGAGAGGGAGAAGCCTGGGCCAACTTTACAGCATAGCCTGGGAGGCGCCAATGTGGGACGGAAGAAAGGGGGTAGACCCTGTCCTTTCTCTTTGGGGACAGCTGGGCCATGGTAGGGGGTGGTGTAGGAGCTGAAATAGTAAAAGCAGGGGGCTTCCAATGCTTCACGATTCCTCTGAGAGTTTCTGAAATCTCAGTTTTTCCTGTGACTTCCTGCTTTCTATTATTCATACTGAGTGAAGGGAGAGGCCGGAAGGTGGTGGTGGTGGTAGTGGTGGTGGTGATGGGGGTCTGCGGAGATCAGAGGCCCCGACCACAGCCTTGTCTTCCCCTAATCTTCCCCAGAAATGAGTAATGAAGATGACAGCCCCTGCCTGGATCACTTGGGTGACTCAGTCTCTGGATTCACAACCAAGCTATTCTACTTGCCCTGGGGTGGAAGGCATCATACTGCCGCCTTTCTTCCAACAGACCCCCTATCAAATCATCATCTCTGCACTCTTCTGGGTCAAGAGACAATATTCTTTGCTCCTTCTCAAGTCTTTGGTTGTTATTGGCATTCTCATTTAGGACTGGAGCAGGGGGTGGTCCCTGGAGACCCAGAAGGAAGGGCAGGGACAGCCTGGCTCTGCTATAGCTCTTGGCATAGGTTCTGCTCTCACCCTTACCAGCTGTGTCATCTCTTTCCTGCCAGCTGCTCCCCAGGCTTGCCAGAGGGTGGGAGGTAGAGAAGGAGAGGGTAGTAAGCTGTGGTGAAGGAGGGTGCCCTCCCTCCCACCAAAGTGACAGCTGGACTTGGAGGGGTGAGGAGAGGTGGGCAGATGGCATCAGGTTGTGAGCACTAGGGAAGTCATTGTGGGGAGGGGGTTAATCTGGCTGTTCTTCCAACCAGTGCAGCTGCTCCTCCCTGCCCAATGTTAAGGGTCAGAGCTGACTCAAGCCTCTGTCCATAAACTTAAACCGGGTGGGGGGAAGGGTAGAGGAATGAGTGGAACATCACATCCCCTCAAGAGCAATCTGTACCCGATAGACCTTGCCAGTGCCTAAACTTGGGTGGGGGGCGGCTGGTGTCGATGGGAAGAGGTTCATACCCCACATTGAGGTGATCCACCAAAGCTTCAGTCAGGCAGGTCGCTGCAGTGATAGCTTCTCGCCTTCTTTTCTCTAGGGGCAGGGGAGAAAGGGATCGGAGTGGCGACTTGGTTTTTTGAGGGGTGGTACTGAAGGTTCCCCACCCATTCATTACTATTCTGCTACCTGCAGGAATATCTCAACTAATCACAGAGTGCCAGAGCTGAAAAGGACTTTGACGAACATAAAGCAAGCCCTTTCATTTTAGAGGTGAGGAAGCTGGTTCTCTGAGAGGGGAAGCGATTCGTCAAGGGGCGCTAATGAGTCAGTGGCAGCGTCCAGGACTCCCCAGACTCCCAGGTACTCTTTTCCCACTTTCTTGGCCTAATGATGAGCAACTCCGGATTCTCAGTCCGCGTTCAGAAAACAAGAGCCCCACGCCTGTTTCGGTGGTTTCAGGCCTCCAAGAAACCCATCTCAGTCGGGTCCCCAACACCCTTCTCGCTTTAGGAGCGTCCCTTCCAGGATGAGAGGCTGCCTGGACCAATCGGCGCAGCGTTCCAAAAGCAGGGGGCGGAACTAGGAGGCCGCGGTGACAGCGTGGGGGGCGTTACCGAGGGCACAGGAGTGTTGCTAATGGGACCAGAGCCCGTTGGCACGGGAACGGAATTTTCAAAAAAGCCACCGCCCCCTTTCCGATGCCTGTGCCCACCAGCCCGCGCCCTTCCCTGGATCTGGGCCGTTACTCGAGGTCCTGGCCCCGGGCTGAGGCTAGGCCGCGGCGGGAGAGAAAACCGCAGACCGGATATTCGTCTCACCCTGCAGCTCCTTGCGTTCATTCTGCTTGGCCTGGTGTTCCTTCAGCAGGCGGGAGAGCATGGTCGCTAAGGACCGGGGCCTGGGTGCTGGGGGCTGGGCAAGGCCGGCCCCTTCCGACTCCGGGAGCTGGAACTCACTCCTCAGCGGCTGAGGGGCCGAGTCACGTGACCTTAATGTCACGTGAGGCCGAGAAACCGCCCCCTTTTCTAGGCGAGGTTGGCAGATAGTGAAGATCTTGGCTGGGAAGGGAGGGAACAGTAGAGTGTTGGGGGCAGGTGAGCTCTTGTCTATTGGGGGCTCACCTTTTGGTGAGTGTTGAAAATTTTCTTTAGCACTCATATTGCAGAGTCCTTTTTTAACACCTCCTTTGGATCTCAGGCTTGCGGGGTGGTTGGTGGGGGTTGGTGTTGCCAGGTTGTCCATCACAGTCTGGTTGTTGAGAGAGCGGAGGCTCCCTGGACTCATTGAAATTCCTTTCCCTCCTCGCTTTTCCTTCCTGGCAGCTCCTGCCAGTTCTCAGTTGATTCTTAGCTCCCTCTTTCTAGGAGGGACCACTTTCCTTTCTAGTCCAGCTCGCTCTTTTCTCACCACCCCGCTGAGTTCCCTTAGCACAGGGTGGTCATTGTAGAGAAGCAGCGTTTTAGGTACTTCAAGCGGCCTCCTAGGGAGCTTTGCTAATTTGGCTGGCTATGTACGGTGAGTGGGCAATTCCATCTCTGTCCTTTTGTGGTCAGAGAATGAGAACCCATTTCAGTCTCACTAGAAGAATAAGTGCTGCTGTCTAAGTAAAAGGTAAATTACATAACACCTCTCTGAACTAAGAAAAATGCTTCCGGGATTAATTCCAACAAGAAAACGTTATAAACATTATCAACATATTCTTGCTACTGCCAGTCTCTTTTGGTGCACTGTGCACTAACATGCTGGCTAACTTTGGGCAAGTTGCTTACCCATTCTGGATTTGGGTTTTCTTCTTAGTAAAATAAAGGAACTGGATTAAATAAGTCATTGGCAATCCTGGCTAAACAGTAGAATCACCTGGGGAAGTTTTTAAAAATGCCCCGGCCCTAGACTAATTAGATCGCTGAGGGGTGGAGCCCAGGCATAAGTTTTTTTTAAAAAAGTTGTTCTAAAATGAATTGAAGGTTGAGAATCACTGTACTAAACCCTGTCTAAAGCTATTTCCAACTTTGGCATTCTCTCATTTTGTGATTCAGTTACATAGTTGAAAATTGACTTCATTACATCAGCTTGCAGTGGGAGGAGACATGGGTGCTGATTGAGGTGGAATAAAACTCAGATACAGAGCAGTGAAGTAACAGAGCTCACAAGTGGCAGAACTAGGATCCAAATCCAGGCTATCTGACCCCAGAGCCTGAGTGTAACCACTGCACTATACTGAATACACCATGGGAGATAGCCCAGGAAGATATCTCCCATGTCACTGTGCCCTTCCATCTTGTGGGGCATCAGATGAAGGGAATACTGGAAGGGGAGGGGTTTTTGGGAAGAGGCTCTTATCCAGAGAAGGGCTGATCAATAGAAGCGGGAAGAGTGAGAGCATCACAGGGCAGCCTGGCCCAATCTTTCTCCCACTCTGGCTTCAGCTTTTAACTGCAGTGAGCAAGCAAAATAGAGGCAGATTGGAAGGTGCCTGGTGCATCACTCTCAGAGCTGCGGGGCCTGAGAGAGAAGGGTAGGGGTTGGAAGGGGTGTCAGAGAATAGTGACCTGGGGAATGTGAGACAGGGGGCAGGGGCCAATGAGGGGGATTGGCGTTGGGGGTTTCAGCCATCAGACTGTGAATGTTAAAATGAGGCTAAGGGAGAGTGACAGGCCCATCCTGTATTACCCTCACCCCACTTGGCACTACCATCTGACATTTTTCACAATCAGTATAGAGACTGCCAGGATTCTGCAGACATCAGCCCTGCCCTCCTCTCTCACACACTGGCTGTTCCTTTGCCCTAGAGGTGGGCAGAGGGACATGGGTACTTGTATCTGGGGACCACAGCTGATCTCTCCAGAGTCATCCTCCAGCTGCTCTTTTTCTGGGCCCTTCTTGTTCACTGTCTAACCTCAGTTTCTGCTGTGATTGAAGCTCAACCCCACCTGCCCGTGGTAGAGATGGACACAAGTTGCACTCATATTTGGAGAATGACTCTTGAAATTTGAAATCTCTTTCTGCCCACCTCTCCTTACAATTTCCCACCCAGATTATTTTCCCTTAGAATGAATGAATGCAACTCCATGCTATTTTTCTCCACTCATCTCCCTATTCTTTTGAGGTCTCTTTCAGAGTTAACTTTAATTAGTAAGCTTCAAGCTGACTGGCTGGGATAAACATTAGGGTCGGAAGCGGCTTAGTTGTTAGGGATTGGGTGAGGACTGAGGGAGGACGTGACACAAGTGGAGGAGGCTTCTCATAGTGGGAAATCTGGCTGGGCTTCAAGAGGGGGCTGTTGGTGATGTGGCCAAGTTCCAAATGTTGGCCTGAAGCCAGTGCTCAAAGAAAAAGGGCCCTCAAGACAATTTAAATGGCTCTCTGTGGGAAGTGACCTCCCAGTCCTCTCCAAGATGCAAGGGTTTTTTCCTTGGATCCTCAAAGACCAGAACGGTCAAGTCATGTCCCCACTGACTCCCCTCAATCACATTTATATTCTTTTTCTCCCAGCCACTCCCATAGTTCAAGCTTTGGCTACAGCCAGAATCCAGAGGCAGGCAGAAGGATTCCAGTGCTGGAGAGGTGGGTGGGGTGAGAAAGTACTCATGTTGTGTGTTGTGGGGAGGAAAAGGCTGACCCTGGGCCATATGCTTCAAGGCTCTGCCAGATGAGGTGGAAGGAGAAGTTAACCCTGCAGTCTGTGTTCTGAAAGTGTTGGCTTGAAAGTTAGAGCAGCTGGAAAATAGGGATCTCAGATGGAGAGGAAAAGAAGGCTGTTAGAGGGGGAAGGGGCTGGAGAAGTTTTCAGCTTTTATTCAGACAAGGGCCAAAGTCTTTGCCGAGCCTGGGAATTTATTAATTTAAAAAATTATTTTGAAATAGTTATAGACTCAGAAGAAGTTGCAAAAATAGTACTTGAAGTCCTGTGTACATTTCACCCAGCTTTCCCCTGTGGCAACATCTTATATAGTTGTGACACAATATCAAAATCAAGAGGCTGAGGTAGCTACAATACTGTTAACTAGCCTATAGGCTTTATCCAGTTTTCATCAGTGTTTTACATACATTTATTGTGTGTGTGTGCGTGCGCGCGCGTGCATGTAGTCTGTGTGTGTGTGTGTGCGTGCGCGCGCGTGCATGTAGTTCTATGTAATTTTATTCCAATTTATTTGGATAGATTCAAATAACCATTGCCAAAATCAAGGTACAGAATTCCTTCATCACCACAAAGTAACTCCCAGTGCTATCCTTTTATATTCACTCCTCCTATTCCTGTCCCCTGGCAATCACTAATCTGTTCTTCATCTTTATAGTTTTATCATTTTTACAATGTTTTAATGAGTGGAATCAAATAGCGTCAGCACTAGCTTTAATTTAATGAATTCCTAAACTCTCGACTCAAATACAAGAAGTTCTCTGACAGGTTGTTTATTCTAATGTTCAACTTCCTCCAGTCTTGGGATACTTCTAGAATCTTCATTCCCCCCTTCATCTACAATATTCCTATGATATTGCTCTCCACTCCAACAATTGGTCTCACTTCTCCTTCAGGAAAATCTACATGTCTAAACTTAACCAGGCTGCTCTAGGGCCCTTGCATGTCCCCGCCTTCCTCTGCCCCACTATTTATAGCCAGGCTAATTTTGGGTGGCCTTTCTCTCTTCTTTCCTGCTCTTTCCTCCTGTGGCCATGAGGTGACTTCTCAAATATTTGGGCAGAGGAGGTCAGAAGTAGATTCTTAGCATCTGATTTCAGCCTTGGATTTAGCAAGAGCCAGTGGAGTGGAGCTGGAGGGAGGCAGAAGCTGCAGGTGCAGAGAGGAAGGCAGTCGGGGTTCTAAAGGCATTCCGATTCTGGCTGGGCTGAGTTGGGAGTTCCAGGTTCTATCTTGATTTTACTCTTCTGTGTTTTCACTTCAGCCCTTCTCTATTGTCTGTGGCTCTGAAATAGAAAAGGGATGGAGACGGCATATGTGGGGGATAATAATAGTAGAATCCTGGTGCCAGCCTGCTAGCAGCACATGTACTTCCTTGATAGCACCTGTTTAAAGTTGTGCTAGTTCCCTGGAGGAGATGGCCACAAGCATAGTGTTGCAAAAACGAAGGCCCAAATCTTCAAATGTGTAGTAGTAATATACCCAAGGCAAGAACTCTCGCAGGGTCAGGAGAGTGAGAGCCTACCTATTTGTCTGTTTGTTTTTTTTTTTTTTAAAGTATAACCTTGCACAAAGAAGAGAGACAAAGAGAGCATGCAAAGAATAACTAGGTAGGACACTACTGGGGCTTTTAAGAAAGGGAAGGAGAAGAGAGAATCTTAAGAATATAATGATAGTGTCCGAGGGGCAGAGAAAATATTAGAGACATTGAGTAATAGTCTGAGAAAGATTCCAAGTGACAGAGACAAGAAGGAAGGCAAAAGTAGAGTTTGGAATGAGAGAAAACCAGATAGTGAGAGAGGGAAGGGGAAGGTAGACAGATGGATATACACAAGACCAATACTCAGTAAGAAAGACAACTAGTAAGGGGAGGTGGGAGCAAGTGAGGTTCCAGTTGTGCCAAATTGTTTCCTATCTCTCCTTCTGGCTCCGTTTCTGGATTAGAGTTATAAATAGCAGAGAGTTGGAAAATGTCCCTCCTCCCTTCGCTTCTGTCTTAGCCTGAGGGGAAGAGAGAAGGAGAGAGAGTGGCCTGTGATTCCTTGTAGAGATCCCTGCAAAGCCCCACACAGCTCCTGTCTGGGCCAGCCCAGGTCCACCCCCTCCAATCCCCACCCCTTTGGAGCAGGGGTCCCCAATCAGTCCCTGGCCTATTAGGAAACCCACCGCACAGCAGCAGGAGGTGTGTGGTGGGCCAGGGAGCAAAGCTTCATCTATATTTGCAGCAGCTCTTCAGCACTAGTATCACTGCCTCAGCTCCACCTCAGATCGTCAGGAATTAGATTCTCATAGGAGCTCCCATCCCTGAAGGTGCCATGGGAGGAATGGGGGGTAGACTCCAGAAATAACTTCCTGCGAGAGCATTGCCATAGGATGGTGCCAAAAAGGTTGGGGACAGCTGCTTTGGAGGGTGGGAAATGTACAGTCCTGGGAAGGGTCTGGGAGCTGGAGACAGCCTCTTGGGTCCAATCTCTTTCATCTTTACCCTTCTTTGGCAACCCCCACCCCCAAGCTTATTTTCTTCTTCCACTATCACCCTGAGCGTCCCTCCTCCCCGCCCCTCTGGCCTTTCTTTCTCCATGTCTTTCTCTTTCTATCTGCCTCCTTTGCCCCTCTCCCCAGACCTGCTGAGTTTTTCTTTCTCTTCTTGCCTGTCTTTGTTTCCCTCTGTTTCCCTGAATGCTGAAGACTTGTTACTGCCGAGCTCTGAGGGGTGGGATGGGAAGAGGCGGGAAGTGGTTTGACTGGAACAGCATGAGAAGTGGTCCCCGTGACCAAAGGGGAGGAGGGAGAGCTAAGGTCGACCACACAGGACCCAGGCCCGAGACTGTCCCCCTTTCATCTCCTCTCTTTCTGCCTGCATCCCTCTCTTCCCAGACTCCTTTAAGCCTCATCCACTTATGTCTTTACCTTCCTTTCTCTTTTTTGGCTCCTTTCTCTCTGTACTTCTCTCTCGCTCCCCATTGCCAGGCGCCGCCTCCACCCTTCGCTGGCTCGGTAACCAGTCCAGGGTTAAAGGGAGCGCGCACAGGGGGCGGCGAGGTGGAGCTGGGGTGGGGCTGGGTGCCGGGTAGCGAGGCCTCCCGCCGGGGTATCCCTTAGCGGTGCGGCGCGGCCTCCACCTGCCGGAGAGGGGGC